ATCCGTAAACTACACCTTCACATCCCCGATGGTGTAAGCAGATGTGCATACAAGCTTAAGTGGTACACTTAGGGCTGATGTTTAGTAGGGGTTGCGGGATAAGCGCAATGAATCACCACGGCCTCGGCCCAGAGCAGGAGAAGGAAAAAAAAGTCTGATACCCTCTCGCCACACAGAAGGTAGAAGAAATGATTGGATGATTTTCTACTCTTTTGTGAAGGAAAAATCATCAAATGACTTTTCTCGTCCAGGGTGGGCGAGAGGGATAGTCAGACTCTTAATGACTAAAAACCTCCCGTTACTTCTCCTGCTCTAGGCCGAGGCCGCGGTACCTTATTTTGCTTGACTCGCAACATGATTTCTTACCCTCAAATCCCTCAAATAAAATAAGAATTTAGAGTCATATTAAAAGTAATAGGTAGTTACAGTACGGCCGCCGTATCTTGGCGAGTCTGAAGTTAGCCGTTTGTCTCCGCAATGGATCTTTTAGGAACAAAATTGTGTACTGCGCAGCTAATCGGCTAACTTCAGACTCGCCAAGATACGTTGGCGGTATAGTAGCAACTATTTCCAGATTTGTTTCTATACACATGTATATCAAAAACTTCGTATATACTTTACGGGCGTAGTTACATGTTGTTATTTTATTGCCAGTCGAGACGCCAGTCTGTCGCCAGCTTATTACTGTTACCATAACCGAAGGAAATACACGTTTTACTATCATATTACTTCACACCTTTCAATCGCTTTAGGAGTATATTAAGGTACATAACCTCTTGGTACATCAAAACAATCTCACAATATTTATTCACTAATTATGTTAGGTACGTAATTTTTCAAATCAGCATACATTATAATATTAAGGGTGGGAGAGCTATGTTTCGGCACGAACGGGTCGGCTCGACCGGAGTGTTAGGTATACGACTCTAACAAACCACAAGAGGCCGGCAACGCATTTGTAGTACTTAAATCCTTTGGTACGAGTGTCCATGTACATGGGCAGCGCTGATTGCTTACCATCAGGTAATCCGTCTTCTTGTTTTCCTATCTATGACATAATAAAATACCGATAATATAATCAGCACAATAATATATTTAATTTAAAAATACCAGCTAAATTTAAGTTAACCAAGTAGTAATTAGGTAAATAAAATCTTGAGTCAATAAGGCTCATAATTGTACATACACATATGTGTACATACAAACATATATTAATGTGACACATACATAAGTTGACTGCCTCGATAGTAAATTACGTCATATCGTAACTATGTTATGAACACAAACGTCTGAATTCGATGGCCAAGTTAGGAAAGAGGTTTTAATACTCTACTAAGAAGTAGTAGAAGAACGAAATCTGGAATGCCACAAGTACTTAGTACCTATTTATTTTGTTACTGGTCCTATTTTATAATGAATCCAGTAGCATGTCTGAATGTCTGACAAAAATGTGTGTGAAAACCACATGTAAACATGATATACCTAATGATGTCTGCATTTCATAAATTATATGATTATATATAATTATTTTATTATATTATATTAATGTTTCAAGTATCAACGTCATGATGGGCTGAATTTTTTTCAATTGGTATAATTCGTCGCCTTACATCCCCCCCCCCCCTGTCGAATTATTCAATGTAAAACCACCCGCAACACCACTGCATCGGCTTTAGTGGGCCTTATCTCAGGAGGCCTGATTGCTTATAGAAGGGCGCCGTTCGCTCAGGTCTGATTCTAATCGGGGGGCTAACTATACCCCTTGCTCCGAGTGATAAGAGGCCTTTGCTCAGCAGTGAGCACTTATATTAATGTAGGCTGATGATGTTAAGTCGTATGTGGTTTTTTTATTTGAGTAATGTACATATTTATCTATGATTAGCTTTTGTCTCGCTGCTGAGCTCTTACAAATCGTAGTGTAATTTTTTATAGTCTATAGCATTCCTTAATAAATGTACCTACTACCAAACACAAAAAGAATTATTATACAAACAAACAAACTCAAGCTTTATAATCTATCTATCTATAAATACCTATATAAAAATCAATGCCTTTGCCAATTTGGCTAATTTTGGTCTTAAATTATTCGTGGAGGTCCAGAGAAGGTTTGTAGGTACTTAGAGAAAATAAACAAAAAATCTTGAAAAAGTGTAAAATCGATAAACACGAGAGCGGGCGGCGCGGGCGGCTGCTAGTATTAGCTAGTATTAGTACAGGTGTTATACACATCATGATTCAGGATAGAAAGACATTTATAATTAAAAATTTAATAAGATTGGTTTTTGTGCAGATCGAAAAATGTAACATATTGTTCATTGAATAAATTTTGTTACTATCTAGGTAGTATAAAACAAAGTCGCTTTCTCTGTCCCTATATGTATATATGTCCTACCTACTTATGCTTAAATCTTTGAAAAAGTATGATTGAAAAGGAAGTTTTATATGTAATGTCCATTAAATAGCGGAGAAACTTAATATCCGCATTGCAGCCGAGCGAAGGCGGGGCGAGTCGCTAGTTTTCAAATAAGTAAACCATTATAATTACCAAACTATTAAAGAAATACTTTTACTGTTAATGAATTTATGATGAAATTAAAATTCCTAACTAATCTAAAAATAGTTTTGTTACCATTACACCTGTGTATAGTAAATGTGTGTGTGTGTGTATAGTAACAGTAAAATTGTCGTCCAGCTGAGATATTGAATTGACCTTTTTTTGTCAGGGAAAAATCATCAAATGACCACCGACCCAGGGTAAGGCGAGAGAGAGAGAGTGTCAGACTCTTACCTACTACAGACACCCCGTTCCATCTCCTGTTTTGGGCCGAGGCCGCGGTGCCATGTGGCACCTTACCCCGCAACCCCGGCTGATTTAATTTACCTGTGTTTCAGAATTACGTCACGCTGCTGAAACCTTGGCCTTTCAATAAAAGTCTCGGTCATATAGTCCAGGTAATAGTTTATGTGACCTCGATGCTATCTAGATAAGCTTAAATAATGCCTAAAAGTTTAAGCACCTTTCTCATTTTGTAATTTGGTTTTTATAAAGTGTCGTTGTGGTCCGCAGTTTAAGAAACCCGACGGTGGAGTTTCGGAATCTGACAAATACGAAGTGACTTTTCCCGAGTTATATGTATGTTAATTTATTCAGACATCACTGACAGAGGGTGGAGGGAAAACATCGTGAGGAAATCTTTATTTTTTTGTGAGGTGAATATCATCAAATCCCTTCTCGCGCCTCATCCTGGACGGGTGTCAGACTCTTACTGACTGCAAACCACCGTTTCTTCTCCTGCTCTAGACCGAGGCTACAGTGCCTTATTGCGCTTGTCCGACAACCTCGACTGAATCGTGAAAGAAGGAAGGCGACGATCGCACATATTTTTAGAGGCACAAGTTTTTTTTTTTTTTGCTAAATTGAATTGCATTCAAACTGTTTACTTCAATTGGATATAAGTATTTTAATTTATATTTATTTACACCCACTATAAGTATATTTGTCTACGTTATAGTTTCATCATATTATTGATATTGCATCACTATCAGTCTCATGCATGTATACTAAGGATGCGTAATTAAAGTTACCAGTTTTGTAAAACAATTAAACTTTGAGCTTCACGCTCATTAGCCGTTCTTACGACTAATAGGTCATCTTAAACTGGGTAGATAAGTAAAAAATCATCCTCATAGCATTTTCGTCATTAGTCTGCTTATAACCATTACGATAGATTGACTCATGATAATAACTGCTGGTGACGTAAAGATGGTGACGTCATCAAATGACCAAACATCAAGTTCTTTTTATGGCGGTTTGCAGTAACGATTTCGTGTTTTTGTTTTTTTTATGATTCTTCTATAAATAAAGTGTGATCAAATGATTTTCATTCAAAAGGAATAATATCATTACTTATAAAATAAAAGATATTTGATTTTGACTATTAAATAGCTTAGAAAATTATTATATATTATTACAGAAAATATTATTTATTATATTTTCTGTAAAATTATTCTTATTATTCACTGAGAAATGAATTTTACTTTAATTTCAAGATTAGCAAAAAATTACTTAGTTTTATAGAACATGATGTCTATAAAATAATTTATTCATTCAATTAGTTAAAAGAAAAAAGTGGTCGAGTTATCAAGAGTTCTAAATTTAAAATGAAAATTAAAACTATAAAACGATATCAGCCAGTATCTAATACGCACAAAAAAATCATTACACAAACAACAGTAAGTAGCAGGTCAACTAGACAAGTCATGTATCATGTATGACTCATAATCGGACAGTTTAAATTCCATTTGTATGATAAATGTATGACTGATTGACAAACCAGACCACTTTCAAACCCCCTACTCATTATTTGACCAAAATCATTAATAATGTCCTATAGTTTTATACATCATTGGTCCTAAAACTATAATTAGGTACACAATTACTGGCACGTTGTAGGTACAATTATATTTTAAATCTGTATCATGGTATTATTTAAGTTTTTATTCATAGGTAGATATTATTCGTCGAGTCAGCTACTGTTCGGACTAAAAATCTATTACCGTTTTTCTAGGAAGAACTAAAATATCTTCTGACGCTAATTTAAATGCGATATGTTAGCCGACAAGTGCTCGTGTAATAAAAAAAAATGGAATGAGCCTGGCCTGTATACTTCGTAACGTATCTTCAATCAATGTTTGCATCGCTGCGAGCTCAGCGCGTGCTACTAACCTTGACCACCAAAGCACGAAGGGTCCATGAAGGTCACTCATTGTTTTATTGATGTCATACCTTGTCATAATATAAACATTGGTATGCGTTCCAGATCACTATTACTATGCCTTGATAAACTTGTAAAAATCGTTGTATTGCATAACCGTGTCTGAAAATGTAACGATTCTATCCAGTATTAAAAAGGCAGAAAGTGTATTAAGCGGTAAAGAAATGGCTTCTTAAACTTTTATTGGTGAACTTTTATATATCAAAAGTAAGTACTTATAGAAAGATGACATCACCTAGAGTTACGCGTCGGCGTCGATTCGTCGAGGCCACAAGACGTGGTCGCTTTGCAAGCAGGCCCCAGTTTGAAATAGCGCGCGCGGTGAACATCACGTACGTTACAAATTCACAGTGAAAAAAAATTCCAACACTCCATAAATCATGGCTAACATAATGGGTAAGTGACCTTCTTTTATCTTATCAATTTACCAAAAATATTACAAAAATAGAAGTGTGTTTTTTTTACTTTTTTCTTATGCATCTTTTCGACCGGTCTTTTTTGAGACCTTGAAACTTTTAACACGTAAGTATACTGTAGAGAATACCTACATAATTTGAGTGATATTTGTAGTCTCACATATTTAATAATCTAGTGTTGTTTTTGAATAACCGGCGTCGGCTAGCTACCTAATACCGGACCGGCGTTTTCTTGGCACAAGGCCAATATCGGGCGTGGTGATGCGGATAAAAATTTCGTTAGAAACAATCAATATAAACACTACTACCGGATTCTTAGAAAAATACAAGAAAAATAAATCATTAAAAAAACCATACATCTTCATCAAGAGTCTTGAAGGAAATGACGCTTTACTAATTAAAATATAAGGTGTATTTTAGAAGAATGTGACGTTAATTAAGCTAGCTCCCACAATTAACTGTTTTTTTTTTATATGAATGTTTGTCTACACAATGTTTGATAGTAGGTACTTAGGAACGTAGAAACCGCTGCAGTATGAGATCATCATCAACTTCGTCACCGTTGAACTTTAGGTTCTAGAGGTTCTAGATATTTTTGCATGTTTATGTACCTATCTACTTAATTACTTATTTTCCTGTATCAATACTAAATGTAAATTAAATAAAACAGCTATTACAACATATAACGTTACCATATTAACTAAACATAGTAAGTACTTATGAAGTTAGCGATAAAAACAAAACATCACACCTAGGTATAAATACGTAAGTCAAATAATACAGTGTACCTACCTAATACAACAAAAAACCTGTTTTTTAATACCAAGATCAAATCAATGGACTTCTGGACATCGTCAACAAAATAATCAAATAGCTAACGTGTTAGGTCATAGCGATAGATTGGTCTAATTGACCTAATTTATCTCTGGTAGTGAAACATGAACCACCGACAATGCTGATAACAAGTTGGAAACAATGTTTAACATAACATTATAAGTAAACATTGTGACATTGTAATTCATCGCTTCCACACTAATCTATGTAAACGGACAAAACACTTCTTATTGTTATGTACAATCTCAAGGTCAGCCATGCAAAAAATACGGTACCTACCTAATGTCTTTGGAAAATTTCTTCTCTAACCAAATCTGTCCTTATTATCTGACTAAGAGAGGTCTGACTGTTGACTGTAGTCACGGCATGGCATATTAGCGTTAATTGCTAATTAATTATCAACCAGACGTGTTTGTTCTAGACTCTTCTTGTTCAAGTCTAGGTAATTGTTATCACTGTTTTAGCTAAATAGTTCGTCATTGAAATGAGCAGGAAAAATTTGATTGAAGAACTCAATACAATTTCTGTAGTATTATTTTATTATTTGTAGCAGATATGTTTTAAGTGTTGTCGACGGATTGTCTAAACTTGATTTTATATTTTTATGGGTAACTTTCTCGCTGCCTGGGATGTAGCAAATAGTTCATATCGTTTTATCAGGATTTTATCCTATCCTATAAACATAATACTTAAACAAGGAAGTTGGTTCTTATGCGTCGTAGAATGTATGTATGCCTGTTAAACTTATACGCAAAAACGAATGAACAAAAATGAATGAAATTTAACACCGATTTATTACACATACTTACTTAGACTACTTATTTATTTTGGGAATGGTCGCTAAACATAAACCGAAGCTGTATTGTAATACAGCTTTACAGCAAATAATGTTCATCTCAATCTTAGAAAAAAATATATCTGGCAATCCCTGGAATGAATATTAAACATGATGCTACACTGTTAATTCCTGCAGGTAGCCATTTTGATTTGCACTAGGTCGTGACTAGCTTACTAATAGACAGGGTGTGTGCAGCTTGTCTGATTGGATGGCTAACATTCTATTGCGGTAAGTGAGTTTTACTACTACGGAATTCCACAGATACTTAATGAAATATAATGTGTGTATCTGGTACATTATAAAAAATCGGCCGCAAAATATTTGTCAATTAGTGTAATTTTTCTCTCCACTCTAAATATCATATCTACAGTAATTAATATATAGTCAACGTAGCTATAATAAAACTTTTTTGCACTGTTTAAATGTAATTACTTATTTAAAATAAAAGGTAAACGTTTAGTACCTATTTCAGAATAGCAGAAAAACAAAACTTCCTTCATTTATCGGTAGGTACCGAATCCGAAATTGGCTTTAAAAATACTTGTATTAGGTGTTCCTTTTTTAAATACGCAGACACACCAAGATTAACTCGATGTTCAGACACACTCCACTACGGATAGGTAGATAGAGGTTACAGAATTGATTTGATTGGATGACATCATCGGCTCGGACTACTTTCATAATAGGCGAAACAAACGCGACAGGCCCAGTGCGCAGGCGCCATGGACGCGTTTCTGCAAACTAGCTCGAAAACAAGCTCTCTATACGCAGCAATGAAAATCTTCCAATGACATAATCAAAGTTGTGAATTCGTAGGTGCAGAGCGGGACGCTATAGCTCGCATACCAACACACACGCCTATATTTAGAACTGTGTAAGAGACATGCCTCGAATGGAAGGCAATGGCCGTATATCATTAGACTAAATAGGAATCAAGGAAAGCACTAAGAACTGTTTACAGAATTTTAAATAGCACATAAGCCATCGACCGTTATTGGAATGCAAGGTTACGAAAATAGCTTTGTTCCTACGGTGAGACTCAAATGTGATGTATAAATATCTAACTTTATAATATCAATTCCTAGACTGTCTGTGGAACATGTTTTTTATATTATACGAAAGTGAAAATAACTCTGAGCATTACATAAATCAAAGCTAATAATAATTTGCAGTATACGTACGTACTACACCTTCTTGGTGTTCAACTAACATTTAAACATAAAATAAATGTATTCCTGTATTCCTGTTTTGTTGATTACAGATTTGTCTACCGAGGACAAACTCGAATACCACTTCTTCCCGGTGTCGAGCGGCTCCGTTTCGTTCAAAGTCAGGACCTCCAACGATGCCCACATTGCCCTTACCATGGGGCCACAGCCGAGCGATCCAATGATTGAGGTAAATATTGAAACATAACTTATAAGTGCTTACCACTGGTGACCGGGGTCACGTACGACGCCATTTTTGGCTTATTTTCGTGATACAACCTTGCACCAAACAGCTTGTTGACTAAATTGGTCTTTCTGTCTCTTCATGGATACGTAGGTACCACCGAACATAACCACGGTATTATTTATTTATTTTACTTATAAGTATATACTTTATTGCACTACACCAAGTAGCAATACATTGGATACTGGTGTTACCACCCAATAAAAAATAAATTTACGTGTAATTTATTTATTTCGACAGATTTTCCTTGGAGGTTGGGGTAACACAAAGAGCGTAATCAGAAGGAACAGAACCAAACCCGACAAAGTTGAAATTGAGACCCCTAACATTTTGAATGGTGGCGAGTTCCGTGGCTTCTGGATCCGTTGGGACGGTGGTATCATCTCCGCCGGGCGGGAAGGCGAAGCCATTCCTTTCCTGTCATGGGCTGACCCTGAACCATTCCCCATTGCTTTCGTCGGAGTGTGCACTGGTTGGGGTGCAACCGGTACCTGGAAAATTGAAGGTAACTTTTCTCGAATTTCCCTTAACAATCGTTATGGCATAAAATGTACCCAACAAAATAAATTACCCCTTTTATTATCGGTACAGATGGGGCTGAGTTCAATACTCCGGACCAGTTAGAGTATAGATTCGGACCCGTCCTCGCGGGTTCTCTGAGATTTGAATATCGCGGTCCCCACAACTGCCATGTAGCTTTGACGCCAGCACCCGCTGAAGTGGACCCTATGTACGAAATTATGCTTGGTGGTTGGGAAAATACCAAGTCGGTTATTAGATACTGCAGGCAGAAACCCGATAAGGTAGGATAGAATGTCGTGGTTGCCGGTGTATTACTTGTTGGAACATTTCGTTAAATGCTTACTGTTGGCCCGTAGGTTGAGGTCCCGACTCCAGGAATTATGAATCCTAACCAGTTCAGGCAATTCTTAATCGAATGGAAATGTGGCAGAGTGATTGTTCGCGACGGCGAGTCGGGCATGGTTATTATGGAGTGGGTAGACCCTTCGCCATTCGGCATCACCCACTTCGGTGTGCGTACTGGCTGGGGTGCCCGTGGACAGTGGCGCATTAACCATTTCGGCAATGCTCAATCACAGCCTCGTTGAGTAAAATTTTATTAGAGGGAATGCTTTGGATGTTAATTGCTGTCATTTAATCCGCATTGTAGTGCGTTTTATTTCTGATACTTTTGTCGATAGATGAACTAAATTTTTAATCGCTGTCACCACCGTTACACTAACAAAAATAAATGTTGTAAGAAAACTGCGTGTTTGGATTCCTGTCGTTGGTAAAGTTGTCGTTGACGTCTGCATCGGGATGTTTGTCTCGGATTGGTGTTTGGTACGTTGGGTACATTTTGTGATTAAGTCTTTTTATTTTATTGGTTCTCTTTTCCTTGCTCACGCATTTTCTTTAAATCTTAAAGTTATCACATCTAGCACTTTTTTATATCAATCTATACTATCTTTACTACGGTAAGTCGCTTCCTCTAAACAAATTAAAAAACCAACATTTTTAGTTGCATTGGTATTGCTACTCGTGTCTATAAAACAACGTGCATGCGACGCATGTATGGAGCAACACACAAACTTATTTCTTAACCTAATTACAATGAAATCAATGCTCCATGCACTGATAACTTACATGACCTACCTACTAAACTTCTGTAACCCTCAATATAACAGTTACACTAATGGGTGAAACCGTAGACACTTGTTGGCTTATGTAAAGCTAAAATGTAATTTTGCTTAGAATTCGTTAAAGCAACTATCCATATGGTAATACACTTTATGTAATTGCATCCAGTTTTATGGTCATTGCCTGAATGCTTAACTTTCGATGACAATATCATATTCTAGTTATTATTCAATTTTTAAATAAGATAAAACGTTTTTTCGTTGCTTATTTCTATCGCGATGAAACAAGAACGGCATTAAGTTATTATTATACAAGATTAAGTACCTATTGTATTCTGCTTAACCTTGTCTTGCAAGATTTTTTGTAGCTGGTTTACGATTGTATGCATTATTTTGTAGTTCCCCCATCGGCGCCAGTGGCTGCACCCCTGTACGCTGCTCCTCCCGGCTACCCCGGTGCTATGGGAGGCTTCGGCGGTGCACCAGTAATGGCTGGAATTGGCAACTGGGTTGATGCCAGTGCGGGTCAAATTCCCCCCGGCGCCGTCGTCGGTGGCCAGGACTGCAGCGGCGAACCCCTCTACGTCGCCAGAGCACAGCACGAAGGAGCTCTCATTCCCGGAAAACTTTGCGCTTCACATGGTTGTGCCTACGTTCCATGGGGTGGTTTGGAGCATGGCAAACCCCAATACCAGGTAGGTGTTTTAACTAATTAAGATTATATCGGCCATCTTTTAATTTAATATGCAAGTAATGAAAGTTGATCCGGTGATTAATTATTATTTTATGTTCTAGGTGCTGGTTGGCGGCCCCAACAACTGGGTGCGCACTAGTGGCTCGAACGTGCCTCCTGGCGCGTTCCCCGGCGGTCAGTCCGAAGATGGCGAGCCCCTGTTCGTGGGCCGCGTGAACCATGAGGGCAGCCTTACCACCGGCAAGGTGCAACAGTCGCACGGAGTCTGCTACATCTCCTTCGGTGGACAAGAGCTCGGCTTCCCCGAATACGAAGTCCTCATGCCCTAGACTATACCACCAGTAATTATTTAAGAATCTCAAGATTTGTCCGAACGTGTAACTTAGGAATACTGCTTCCACAATATATACGAGCAATTAAATGGTGCATTTAAATTGTACCTAGAAATAAAAGTCAAGTCACGATGTGCCTGTTCGTATGCTGTATGTTAATTGTTGTAATGCACCGCATAATATTATTCGTTTGAGTTATTGTTTTATGAAACTCATAAATAACAATAACTATATATAATATTTTTGTTAAATTATTATAAAATATTTACCAAATAATGTTTTTGTATTATTTTGCATAAATGCTCCTAACAAATTATAGCGTAGCAAGCAAGCATTAGGTACGCAGCGAGGCGGTGGAAAATATTTTAGGAACACTTAGATTACGGTTATATAAATAAATAAAGGACCAACCTTTTTGGGCGCCTTTTTCGTTAATTTATTACCTAGTGACTACTACTATCACATATAAATCAGATATAGGTACTTAGCCCCTGCTATGAGTAGGTGTAGGAACAATAACCGAAAGAAGGTTCATGAAAATTCTAAATAGAAATAAGTAGGTACTTAGTTTTCTAAACTGGCCAAATATACATATATTTGGTAATGAAGATAGATTTGTTTTCAGGCTCGCTTTGCGTTTGCGTTCGTTTTGCTTGAATACCATTTGAAAGCATTAAGCATGTCTGTCTAGAAATATAGGTAGGTAGCTCTCGCGCAATGATTCCTAGCATAGCCGGTTGGAAGGAATACCTTTTGCCTTCTTCGGTGCAACCGCACATTGTCATTTTAGCACTATCAGCAATATTGAATTATATTAATTTCCATACATAATTGAACGTACAGTCCACGCTAACCTTTTAGTCAGTAAGAGTCTGACACTCCCTCCCGCCTGACCCTGGGCGGGAGAAGTCATTTGATGATTTTCCCCTCACAAAAAAAAACCTCCGTATGCACGTCATTTATCATAACTCATTAGTCTCTCAAATCATTAAAGTTATCTGTTAAACTCCAAATCTAGTTTGATTTAAAGATCACTATCATCTATTAATCAGCAAAAGACGTACTGGTACCTACGTACGTACGTAGCGGTTACGGACAATAACACAGCATAATAAAACAAAAAAAAATCTGTGTTTGCAGTTTCCCCGGTAACGTTGGAACTAGTACCCCGTAGAATGTTTCCTGGCGATGGTACGCTTCATTGGGTGCCTGTGACCAATAGCCAATTACCGCCGGACGCATTAATTGGTGGCTTCGAAAACGAACTCACGTATATAGCCAGGGCACATCACAATCGGTCAATTTGCCCTGGACGGTATGTGCCCTCCGCTGGAGCAGCTTTTGTTCCCTGGGGAGGGAGAGCACATAAAAAGCGACAATTTGAGGTAACTACAGAATGTAATTTCGGTAATAATTAATAGTTTTTTTTAACTACACTATACGTAGGTGTTACCAAAATTCTAGTTTCAAACTTAGCATTATGTTTTACAACCACGAATTGTGTCTCTATACATTTTCAGATTTTATGCGGATTTAATGCTATGTGGGTTAAAACAAGATCGAACCTCATCCCACCGAACGCATTCGTTGGTGGAACATCAGAAATAGCGAACGAGCCATTGTACATAGGAAGAGCTATGATTGACCAAAATCTCATATCTGGGAAAGTATACACCCGTTACCATCTCTGCTATTTACCGTACAAAGGCAGGGAAGTTGAAGTATCTTCTTACGAAATATTAGTTATACCAGAGAATGAAATACCATAAACTTTGCCGTTTACATATTAACTGCCAGGATGCAGCATGCAATATGCAGCACAATATTCTTCGTGTGATCCAAAAATTGTCGTTCTAGGTCTGGTTGAGACTGTTTGAGACAAGACTCGGGTGTGAAATTGTAGGTATGTTTTATATAGGACACAGAGATTTAGAAGATTTTTTTAATGTAAGCCATTTATGCATGTATCTATGTATGTATTTAAAAATAAAAAGTGCCTACTAGGTATAACTTCCTTTTTTATTCCATTCCTGATATTCCTTGAATTATGTTAAATCGATTAAGAACCTAAGGATATTTTCCTTACTACCGTCGATAGACGATCTCCGGCCATCGTATGGGTAGCTCGCCGCCTGGCCAGTACCAGACCGGCCAGTTCCGCGCGCGCCTTAAAGAGCCAATATAGCGACTCTATAGGGCTGATGTTTAGCCGGGGTTGCGGGGTAAGCGCAATGAGGCACCGCGACCTCGGCCCAGAGCAGGAGAAGGAACGAGGGGGAGGGCGGGGAGGTTAGTAAGAGTGTGACACTCCCTGGAGAAGTCATTTGATGACTTTCCCCTCACAAAAAAAACCGTTTCCATTTTTCTAATTACTCGTAGGTATGAATATAAAGTACCTATAAAAATATGAATTAAAACGTAAATATCATTTCTGTGCACCAGGCACAGTAAAACCTGAGCTAATAGGAGGTACCTGAAGAATATGTCTAATACACTACACCTTTGAATCCCCGATGGTGTAAGCAGAAGTGCATTTTTTGTGAGTGGAAAATCATCAAATGACTTCTCCCGCCCAGGGCCGGGCGGGAGGGAGTGTGAGACTCTTACTGTCTAAAAACCCCCCTGTTCTTTCTCCTGCTCTGGGCCGAGGTCGCGGTACCTAATTGCGCTTACCCCGCAACCCCGGCGTGCATACAATCTTAAGTGGTACACTGCCTTTTTTGTGAAGGGAAAATCATCAAATTACTTCTCCCGCCCAGGGTGGGGCGAGAGGGAGTGCCAGACTCTTACTGACTAAAAACCTCTCCGTTCCGTCTCCTGCTCTAGGCCGAGGCCGCGGTACCTATTATCATACATTGTATGTATAATATTTTTTATGCGATAATGATCATATATTACGTCATATTTCGTCCTTGCACCAAGCCAGAGTCGGTACAAGGCATCACTCACCCTGGCTGGATGTATTATAAGACTCCATTCCAAATTAAACGCCAAGACCTCCATTATACAAACAATATTCATTTATTTTCAAATATTAAATATCGCTATCACAACCATTGACATAGGAATATATTTTCTATCTCAATGATCACAACCGTACGGTTCTGTGCTCCTCCACCCGAATTGCCGCCATTTTCCAAAGAGTATGTATTTTTTTTTTTATTGTTGCAACCACTACGTTTACCATTTTCCTCCCCCGCGTTGCTAGCTGCTGCTGACAACCATAAATTCAATTTTCCCGCCATTTTTAGTTATTTTTTTATGTTGTCAATTTAGGAACTCATTTTAAAAATAAAAAATATAAAACATAAAATTAAATACAGGTACAGGGTTTGAAATAATCCTAAACCTTACATAATATTTGTCATTTTAATAAAAGTATTGCATTTGACTAGTTGGATACGGTAGGTATTATAGGCGTGGTATGTGGACTGTTCGTATTTTTAAAAATACAAACAGTCCAATATTTTTTCCTACCAAAACTAAACCGAACCACTCGGCTAAATATCACCTGTAAATGTTCTCAAAAAATATTATGAAATGTGAATGAAGTGAGCGTGAATGAAGTGCAATTTTCACGATTTTTAACCATTTTCCATTCTGATTCACCAATACTTATTATAAATCTAATACGATAGGCGATAGCAAAGTAGACTCGATTTTAAAACGCCATTCGACGGATGTTGTCAATGCTGTCAATGTCACGCATAGATAAATATACTACCAGTAGAGTGTAGAGTACAGTGAAGCTTGAAGCAGAGTAGATTAATATGGCTAAAAGTGGAACCTACCAAAACAAAACAATATTTTGGTAAATATAAAAAAGGGTGTCGCGTCCAATATACTATAAAAACTCCTAGGTTGCATCGCTTCGGGTTCAAGCTTTTCTAGTTGACTTGCGTCGTTTCTATGAATACGATTCAATTACAAACAGCTTTGACCGGGCTGTATATATGGTAGTGAGTTAAAACTGCAGTGCAGTTAAATTTTAGTCTTTGTTTACCGGCTTTAGCGACAAAATAATGGGTGAGATACTAGGTAAGTACTTCAAAAAATTCAAAGTTTAAATAAATGAATAGTTGGTGTAAATAAATCATCAATCAAACTCTTTAAGATAAAATTGCACCATATTTTGTACCTATTGTAAGTATGCGTCATATCTTTACAGAAATTACGACACGGCCGAGGCATCACCATGTATTCTACAAATTCACAGGCAATGGAGTCAACTTTGAAATTAAAGCTGAGCGCAATGCTGTACTTGGAATATCTAATAAGCCAGAACAGAACTGTGAATTTTTGGTGGGTTTTCTTGTAACATTATTTAAAAATATTCTTGAAAAAATCAAATATTTCTTTGGCAAATATAAATCCGGTATATGTAGGTGGATAATGTTATCCCTTTCTCTAGTCTGCCAAATGGTGACATAAATAATGTATTTTTTGTGTCTCATATAGCTATTGACTGGTTAGATATTAAAACCTCTTATTTAAATGTTTACACACAGATTGGTATAGGCCACAATAATAGGACATGGATAAAGAAAGTGAGAGGAAGAGGAGTCTACAGGGAAACTATAGACACCCCAAATATTTTGTCTGCAACAGAGTATAGACGATTTTGGATATCATGGTATGGAGACATTATACGTTTGGGAGTAAACACAAGAAAAAGTCCCATAATAACATTTAACAGTAGAACTTCGGATTTAAAATATGTTACCTTCTTGGCGCTTGATGATGTTAGGAATACTGTGCACTGGAGAATTGAAGGTGAGTGAAATTGTTTGAATAGCAATTCATTGTTTATATTTTTTACCAACAATTATATAAATAAAAAATAAAAAAAGATTATTGGTTTCTCATAGGACTACCAATTTTCCATATTTTTCTAGTAAGACTTTAACAGCCTTGTCTTTCAACAATAATTAATATATTTCAGTGCCACCTTATATTGAAAAATCAATTATGAAGCCTATTTCTGGAGGTGACCCATATTGGGTGCCGTTTGACCGAACAACAAGCTTCCCAGACAATGCATTTATTGGTGGACATGAAAATGAAAGCTTATACATAATAAGGGCTGACCACAATGGGTCATTGACTCCAGGAAAATATATGGCCTCAAAAGGAATGGGCTACATTCCCTGGGGAGGAGAAGCCAATGCCAAAGTTTCATTTGAGGTAAAATACTTTTAGTGTTTCATATAATATTATATACATAATGCATTAACTAATCCTTAGTTGTCCATTAGTCCTATTTTTACACAACTGCCTGAAAACAGTGTTTTATTAAATTCTTAAGTGACATATATTTTCCAAGTTTTTGACGTGTAAGAGTGCCGATTTATGGCCTATTTGCAAAAATAAATTCATTGTTTCAAGCATTAATTTGCTATTCATATCAAATACTAAAATCAATCTATCTTGACAGTTATTTTAATAGTCTAATAGTATGGTTTGTGTTTCAGGTGCTATGTGGATTGAATTTAATTTGGGTACCATGTAAAACAACAGAGGCTATTCCAGTTGGAGCTGTAGTTGGTGGTTACTCAGAAGATTATGGAAATGAGAAACTGTACATTGGAAGAAGCAAATATTTAGATCACATAATTCCAGGCAAAATTCAGCCTTCTCACAAAGTGTGTTACGTGCCATATGAAGGTCGAGAAATAGGCTTAGACAAGTTTGAAATACTGGTTGTGCCCGAAAGTAACAGATCCGTTAATAAGTTCTTGATTCCTGGCTCAGTAATAGACCACCGCATGGTTTTTCGCGAGGAAGAACAGATGAACATGGATATTGAACATGCCGTGAATTTCGAAGAGTATGCTGGATTTTTAAATCCAGAAGTTGATGGTTAAAGGCCACAAGTTCATTTAAACTTAAGTTGTAAAAAACTTAAATGTATCAGTTATATAATGTAGGTTCCTACTTATATTTATAGTAATTAAGGACATGTTCTTAAAGATTTTACCTTATTGGTAAATTTATATTTTTACTGCTAGAGAATGAAGCAATCTGGTAGCAAACTCTATGCTAGTATTGATACAAAATATTGACAGCTAGTTTAATAATTTTGTTTTTCTACATAAATATTATTCATAATATTTTGTTTTATTTGAAGCTGACATAACTGCTGTTGAAAAAGTCTTGATTTAAGATGACAAAGAGAGTACTTACAATAAATATTGATCATAAAAAAAGAGACAGAGATGAAGAAAATACTTTGCTTGCTAATAAGTTATATTTTTCTATAAAACTGAAACTTTCAATATAATTAAAAAGTAAATTCAATAAATAAATGTAATTAAAAAATATCTCTGGGAGGATGACGAGGTATCGGATGTTCTGAATCTTCACCTGGTGTCACTAAGATTTCATAAACATCTACTTCAATTTCTTGGCCGTAAAATGGTAAAAAACATAATTTGTAAAGTACATGAACTTTTCCAGGTACAAGATTACATCCTAACATAGCCCTGCCAATAAATAAAGGTTCATTTTGAACTTCAGAAAATCCACCAACAAATGCATTTCTTGGAATGTGATCAGCTCTTGTTCTCATCCATTTAGCATTATATCCACATAATATCTGAAAACAAAATTAACACAATATAATTGTTATAAATTAAAATCATAATCTATACTTATTAATATTATAAAGCTGAAGAGTTAGTTTGTTTGAACGCGCTACTCTCCGGAACTACTGGTTAGAATTGAACAATTCTTTTTGTGTTTGTTAGTCCATTTATCGACGAAGGCTATAAAAAATAATACGATCTCTAGGAACCGAGCAGCGGGTGTAACCGCGTGAGAGTAGCTAGTAGTTTTATAAAGTGTTTCACACATTTCTGTGTCATTTAACATTTAATAATCCAATTTACTGAATCTACTTGTATACCTACCTCAAAGTGGTCTTTTGGATGTTCCAAATGTCCCCAAGGAACAAATGCTTTACGAGTTGATGGTACATATTTTCCAGGACACATGGAATTATTATGTTCAGCTCTGGCTATGTACGTAGGCTCCGGTTCAAAGCCACCAACCATTGCATCTGGTGGTAATACACCATTAATCATAGGAACCCATCGAAGTCTGTCAGAAAATAGTTTTTCACCAATTGGCTTCAGTATTACTGGTGAAGCTGTAAAAAAAATGCAACTTTAAAATAAATAACAAAAGGAGTAATAAATGTTCTAAACAAAAGCGTGTTTTTAGTCTAAATATAATAGGAGCGACTTATGTTCTATTTTGTATAGGGACGACGTGTTATGAAATGAAAAAAAACAAATTTTCTGTTAGATAATGAAAAAGTATTCGACACATCTTTGATTATACAGTTGTTCATGACAAAATTGATTTGAAAAAGGATTTAAGTTTGGGACCTCGTCACATCACTGCTTAGTATAAAATGTACTAAGTCACAAGATATTTCAAAACCAAAGTTTTGTTCAAAGTAAAAGCTAGTAAAAGAAAATGACTGTCGTGTTTCAATAATGTTTTCAATTAACCTAGGTACTAGATTATGCCTTTGTGAATTAAACATTTAAACAAAGATACTTAATGATATAAAAAAATTACTTTCAATAATCCAATCCACAGGATGCTCTGGAGTACTTTGAGTTTTGTACAAAATATATCCCACAAGGGAACCATTATAGACATTGTTATATTTAACAAATGGTTCTTGCCCAATTAAACCTATTGTAAGTTTGTTATTATTCCAAGACACACAAAATTCTTGATACTCTGTAAAGCTTTCGATGCCACTGGGATAACTCTCTTCTTTTTTTTCAAGTAAATTCATAACTTTGGTTTGTGCTCCAAATGTAATCTGTAATCAACCATTTCATATGAAGAACTTTAACTTGACTTGACTTTGTCTTTCGCAAAAAGGCCAAAGGACAAAGCCTTAATCCTACCTACAATCTAACCTAACCCAAAACCTCATATTTCTGGAGTTTCAGGTGACCATGGGCGGCGCGGATCCCATTGCTTACCATTAGGTCCATTACAAAAAGGTGTTTTGTAGGACTTCGGAACTTCAGTACCTAATAGCATAATAGCATCATCTGAGATGGTGCTATTATGCCGCAAGTCAGCTTGAGTTAGATTTTAATACCTCTCATAGTAGCATGTGTCTGCAATAAAATTGTGCAAAGTATATGGCAATTGCCTCTTTCAGGTAAAATTGCAAAATGTATAAAATATGACTTAAAATAATCTGTGAAAAGTGGTGCTACTCTAAGAAATATACCTAACCCTCAAGAAAGAGGTGTGTTATTCTGTACTTCTGTTACCTACTATCTAACATGCTATAAAACATAACAAATATTGCTTGGTTACAAACCTTATAAAGGCTAAGGTTTAAATCTTGGTATGCAATCAATTTAATTTCTGCAGAAGTTCCTGTAGTTCTCATTTTGAATCTTACACATCCACCAGTAGCCCGGTACATTGTTTGGCGGTCATCTTTTGTTAAGACTGAAACATACAGATTTAAATAATAGTTTCTTAAATAAGAACTGTGAGTTTGATAAACCTGTTTGTTTAGGCATTCTAGAAGAAATATCCAAATTCCAGATATTTTTTAATAATAGCTTACCATCTTTTGTGTTTTTTTGCTTCAATAATTTGTAACATTTCCCTCTGTATTCTCAATAACCCTAACAGTGATCCTTCAGTTTTCCATATCTACAGAACAAATGTTAATGCCCTCAGCTTTCCATATACATATGTACAGAACTAATGTTAATTTACAAGGAACCTACCCTCAATTCACAATCAAAACCTAATTTATTATAGCCTTCATACTGATGATCCTCATTACTACTTATTGGGTTGTTGTAAATAATAAAATGTTAATTTAAAAAAATTTTCAAATCTAGCATAAAAAATATTGTGTAATAATGTACCTACCTAAATATACATTTCAATAAGAAATTGAGGATATCTTGTTGAAAATTGGATCAAATACATGTTAAAAATGGGCCTGCAAATGACCTAATTTCCTAAATTAATTAATTATTTTGGTTGTACATTCCATTGCCTAATTATATTCATTTTTATTTATATATAAGGTACTTCAACAATATATATGTATAAATGTATTTATAACTAAGACAAAAATCTTGTGAACCTGCAATACATGTACAACATAAAGTTAATTAATAGGGAAAGGCAAAAATAAGGAAAAACTAAGGGTTGAGAACTAGCAGTATTAATTAAAGAATACTAAACTGGAAGGAATTAAATGTACAAAATGAAATACCTAATATAGATATAGATAATACGAACATATTATTTTGCCTGATTACACCGAAGGCTACACTTCATACGATATTTTTAATTTTTATCGACATTTTTATGTCAGTAAGATGGTGATTTATTTTTGCAGACTGGATTATGCATATATGGAAAAGATTAGACGCTGGATATTTTTCTTTGAATAAATAAATAATGTAAAATGCGGTAGTAAAAAGTTAAAAATTAATAAATAAATTGATAATAAGTAAGTATTATTACCTTTGTAATCGCACATGGTTGTATTTTTTCAGGTAAAAGGTAAATTATAAGAGACCAAACACACACAATTGCTGCAATTGATGCGCTGCGAATAAGTTGTATTTAACATTGTGCAATTCTTTATATGTTACTTATTTTCGTTTATCGCGGGTAACAAATCACTATCACAAAGTTTTGACAATACATTTGACAGATTTTTTTTCCACAACGTCACTAACGTCAGACATAATTGAATTGTATTTTTTTGAGTTTATGGCCTGGATGCAAGTTCTTTAAGCCAAATAATTGAATCGTGTATTTGTCATTCTTGCCATCGCAGATTATTATAAACTACCAATTAGAGAAACGGGACACTTTTTTGCTACTATATAGTTTTCACTCGTTAGTGCAAAGCGCTAGTATCAATATCAAATATTATTATAAATATAGTCAACAAGATTGTGCACTTTAGCCAAAAAAACTAGCCGATCGAGATGCTCGTAAATAGGATTGCGTCCTTCTCTACTAGAGTGACTACATTATTACGTCCTCCACGGACAAAGGCTAACAAACAAAATTTCATTTATTATGCTATTATTTATATAAATTCATGCATGTAAGATAGGGGACCCGGGCACGTCCTAAGGACCCGGGTACGTCCTAAAACTGCGACCAGACACCGAGGAATGCGGAGCAGCATTCTTTAAAAATTATCGGTGACCTAACTGCGCTCGCCAACCCGCCTGCCGTGCGTGCGTGGCGAGTATTGGCAAATCCAATATCCCCCCCCCCCCCCATATGAACTGCTCAGATGAAACCAGGCCCCCAGTCTCCGGTAGTCCCGCCGTTCCTGGCTACCGTGGTAGCGGTCAGGATAACAGCGGGACACGGGGTGCTAAGAATCCCCGGAGGTGGAGAAAAAGGCTACCACCCCCGACGACGACTGGCCCTGGTAATACACAATGTTCGCACTTTAAGGACTGACGAGAAGATTATTGAGCTGGAAGAGGAATTGGGTAGGTTGCACTGGAGTATTGTGGGGTTGTCAGAAGTCCGACAAGAAGGCGAGGACACGATAACCCTAAGACCTGGCAACCTATTCTACTACCGGGAGGGCGAACAACTGTCTTAAGGTGGTGTCGGATTCCTCGTCCACAGGTCCCTCGTCAACAACATTCTCACCATCGAAAGTGTGTCGAACAGGGTGGCGTACCTGATACTTACGGTATCCAATAGATACTCGTTATCCAGGTTTATGCACCAACCTCGACACACCCAGACGAGGAAGTAGAGGTTATGTATGAGGACATAAGTAGGGCCATACATACTAATAAAACCTACTTTAATGTTGTTATGGGGGACTTC